AAAAAAGAAGTCGAAAATATGGAATAAAAATTTTTCGTTCGAGGCTTCGTTTTCGAGAAAATCGACTTTGAATTTTCGCTCGGTACGCGTGCACTTTATCGCGTCTCGTTGTGACGGATCTCGCTGTAGATCGTTGTCTCGATGGAAAAATTTAAAAAAAGAAAAAAAAATTTTTATTCTATATTTTCGACTTCTTTTTTCGCCCCCTTTCCGCTTGTACCACCAGTTACCAAACACCCTGTATACTTTTTTTTATTATAATACGCTTTTTATAATAATATTTTATTATAATACACTTCTTAATAATAATTTTTAGATTATAATATGCTTCTTCGTTTACTTGAGTGTGCAAACCAGCCGTAAATAACATTCGTTAACGTCTATTCTCGTGAAATTCGGCGCCAAACGCGTGCTTAACGCAACGCGTGTAAAACGAATATTTCCGAAAAGATTTTACTCTTTGCCCGCGACTTGCTTTTTCGTCTTTTCTCTTTCATGTTTCTCATGTTAAATCACCAGTTACACGATACTGCATAGTACGACGAGATAGCGTATTCGTTTATGGCTTCGAGCTGCATGTGCTGCGAGGCTATTTGCCTTCGCGAAGGAAGAATCGAAAGTCTAATCCTCGTCGAGGCACGTTGCACCGTTTCTCTCGCGACCCGTCATCGATGATTTCTCCGCGATATCAGCGTCGTCGCTGCGAATTGCAGCGAATTAGTTTGCTTGGTGATTGCGGCAAAACGCGAATCCAACCTTTTGCCATCGATTAACGTACGTGTTTCGTACGGTTATTTTTTCAAAATCGTTAAAAATCGAGGAATATTTGTCATATCGGCGACGAAACTGAAATTTACGTCGTTCGAAACTATTACGAGTTGAACATCATCGCACCTGGTGCGATTATTTTGGCTACTTCGATCGCATGATATTACGCTATCGACGATACTATTGCACATACATCCGCTGATCCTCTTTTCTTTTTTCTTTGCAATCATCTCGCTTACTTAAACTCATTGCTGGCGCGTTTATTTTACAAGTTATTAATTCCTGGTAATTAAATTCTATTCAGGTACTTCGTTATTACTTAGTAATTACGTATTAACGATAACTATTCCTAGTTATTACGTTCTCGGTAGTTGTAATTACCAATTTTTAATTATATACTTTTAACAACGATAGATCATTGTACTGACTCGTGTAACTTCTCACTTTTCGTGTTATTAATGAGTTTTTCCCGCCGATGCAATGAAATTAATTAAAATAAAGATAAAACGAACGGGACAAGTTTCAAGGCGGTTTTAACATTTTTTGGTCCACGATATCTACGGTTTCTGCTTATCGCGGCAACTTCCGCTTCCGATATCAGCGTTGGATAACGAGCTCGTCCAAAGGAAAACTATAGTCGGCCATCAATTTTTCAATATTAAGTATCTTCCATACGATGATGAAATAGTTTACGTAAATATCAGTCGTTTAATTAACGGCTCGCGCTGTGTTATCGATCCACGAAACTGGGCTACACCGGAAGCGAGGTGTTTCGTATTTTCAAGAATAAAAACCTGTTACAGTGTCGTTCGAACGAGAGACAGAAGTGAGTGAAAGCGGCCGGAAGTATAAAGAACAATCGAAAGTGTAAGAATATTAAAAGCGTAATCGCGAGTTTCATCATGTTATTAAATATTATAACACGGCTGCTCGATCGGTCTTTCAGATCTTATCGGCGAATGCCAAAATGCGAGTCTAACGGAAACTTCTGCTACAAAGTTTAGCGTGTTTCTTAATCGAATTGCCGAATTAACAATCGTCCATACGATTTTACCTTTCCACGTTAGTTGGCAGAATCGTTTCTCTCAGAAGCTCGTGCCAGGCATCTTAACACTAGAACCACCGTATCAGTCAAATTCACTGGTTTTACAATTTTATTTTAAAATTCCTACTTCATATTATATATTTTTCAGCAACGATGTAATGACTTTTGCAACGATAACTAAAAGAATAGTGTAACGAATTTTATTTTGTTTCTTACGTATTCAAACTGAAAATAATTTTGCATCGAAGCTACTTATACCAATACCAGCGAAAATGACTGGTACTTGTCAAAGCGTAAAAGGATCCTGCGATCTGTTTATCGAACCTCAATTAACCAGTTTCCTCGTTTTGTACAATTTCCCACGCGGTTTTAAAATTCGTACTGCGTGTCATTCGATATGATGATATCGGTTATCAGGAAAATTCCGGATCGATCACGACGCTTTCATCGATCCACATACGTCTCGATGGTATAAAGAGTTCAAATTCGCGATAATACAATGAGAATTCTACTTAGAAGGCGACGAATATTCGATTCTTCCAAGTCCTAACTTCGCGCGATAAGCAAACTGTAAAAACTTCGAACTCAGTTTTCTCAGTGTAAAAGCTATTGTGGAGATAGAGCGGATGAGAGGCAGAGCGACGATATTATAAGCGGGACTATACTTAGGATATCCTGCACACGCTTGCACGTTATGCGCGCTCCATTTTCCCAAAATTTCCCACAAAGACGTAAAAATCCACGCTCTATAAATTATTACTACACTAGAAATACCACAGCAGTCAAACTGACCGGCTCTACAATTTTATAAATGTGTCAACCCTCGTTTAGGATTAATAATACCAAAAAAAAAATTATTACATAACGTGAAATTTCTTCTGTAAAAAAATAATAAATCAACAAATATAAAAATATTCTATTATTACGT